AGTCCGACTACAGAGGATTGATCGCCGACACCCGCTAGTCGCGCGGCTCTCCCAGCAGGGACAGCAACAGACGAGACTACAACGGACGGCTGAACTTCTGCCAAGATGCGGAAGACCAACGTTCCTCCAATCACAGTACCTGCCAAGCTCACAGGATCAGATAGTAGTTCAATGCAAAGAAGAGGCTGCGAAAGCTTTCGAGCGCTGGCTAAAGACAGTACCGGAAAGCCATATGATCGTCTTCTCGGACGGCTCCAGGGCGACGAACGGAGCCGTGGGGTACGGCTTCGTCATCTACCGAGACTCCAAACGCATAGCGCAAGGGTGCGGCCGACTCGGACTAGCAGAAGTGTTCGACGCCGAGGTCGAAGGGGCGCGAACCGGCCTCAGAAGGGCTCTGCTCACCAATCGCGGTCATCCAATCCACATATGTATCGACAACACCAGCGTTATACAAGGCATCCGCGGCAAGGCGCCGGACTCGTCACAAGACGCGTTCCTCGAAATCCAAGAAGCGGCCAGGATATTTGATATACGGACGCACTGGTCCCCGGGACACCAGGGCATCGAAGGAAACGAGGCCGCGGACCGGCTGGCCAAAGAAGGAACGACACTGCCGGCGCGGATGGGTCAAATGGCAACACTAGCGGGCATCAAGCGGCTTGCAAGGGAAAAATTACAAAGCCAGCACAGGAGATGGTGGTATAAAGAGCGAAGGCCGCGGTACGCGGACTTGGGGCTTGAGGCAGCTCTGTCCAGCCCTCCTGAACTGGCCTTGCCGCGGGCTACGTTACATCACCTGCTGGCGGCACGATCGGGTCACGGGGACTTCGAGCAATATCACCGACGTTTCAACCACGACGACGCTCTAATGATGTGCTCTTGTGGAGAGGCGAAAGACGTGGACCACCTGGTCTACTGTCGACTAACGCTGGCGAGGAGGCAACGGTGGCCGACCCTCCACTCTCGCAGTATGCCCGAGCCCATAGGTCCTATGGGATCTCTCGAGGCCTACTTCAAGAGATTAATCACCGACCCACGAGGCTTCGAGGCCTTTCTCCGCGTGACGGACTTCTTCCAGAAGATCTGTCTGCGGTAGCAGCATCCACACCTAGGTAGATGTGAGTGCGGACTACAAAGAACCTCCCGATTCCAAGGGACGATTTGGGAAAGAATGAAACTGGGGCACCAGCGGGAACCGGGGACAGACAGAACGCGTAGTGGCCACAAGGCATGATTTGGAGGACGATGTAAAGAGACGACGTACTGTAGAGTAGGTAGCCTTGGCTCACGGCCCTCCACGCCATATACCCTTCGGGAGGTCTGCGGTAAGGGCTCTAGCCCGGCCGCCACGGCGTTAAATACAACAACAACAACAACAACAACAACTTGCTAGGAGGTTAGGTTTGGCTACAAAAGCGGCGACACTATAGGGTAGGGATCCTGCTACTTTTAGAGGGGTGTATTGGAGGAGTAGCGGCGGACTGTTTACCTGACCAACACTGCAGCAACCGCGATAAGAGAGCTTATCGGCCAATGAATTCGCGTTGATGCAGGCGGCAATGAAACACCTTCCATGACTCCAAACAAAACACGCCAAAAGCTCTTTACGCGGTCAAGACGCGCTCCAGAGTGCCAACGCGGGGGGACGAACGAACCAAGACACACCTCAATCAACATGGTGAGTTCTTGTTGACGCTGGACCCTTGGACCCTTTGTGCGGAATTCGCCCTACGCTAGTTCGATACGTCATCTATCCATTTCATTTTGCCTGGCATCGTTTGCCCGACGGCACCGTGAATCGATATCCCTGTTCGCCATTCCATTTCCCCTGGGCTTGGTCGGTCTCAGTCATGAATTAGTCTGCCGCAGAGTCTCTCCCAAAACCATCTGAACTTCTCGGCTCACTCAGTAAAGATGCAACAATCACAGCTGGACCCTCTGCCCAGTGACTTGCCCTTCAGGGTCATCTCAAAGACCATTGGGCGAGGGGCTTATGCATCGTAGGAACTCTACGCCTCAATCTCAAGTCTGATGAATCCCGCCACTGACTGCGGGCATCCAGAATCAAGAAAGCCGTCCCTCTAGACGCAAATACGCCCGTCTTCGCTGTCAAATTCATCCACAAGGGTTACGCCGTCAAGCATGGCCGCGTGTCGGCAAAGCAGCTCCTCATGGAGGTGTCACTCCACTCACATGTCGGCCAGCACCCGAACATCATTGAGTGGTTCGCTTCGGGAGAGGACAGCAATTGGCGATGGATTGCCATGGAGTTCGCCGATGGAGGCGACCTCTTCGACAAGATTGAAGCAGACGTGGGCGTTCACGAGAACATTGCTCACCTCTACTTTCTGCAGCTCATTAGCGGCGTGAGCTTTATCCACTCAAAGGGCGTGGCGCACCGAGATCTGAAGCCCGAAAACATTTTGCTATCCGAGACGGGAAGTCTGAAGCTCGCCGACTTTGGCATGTCAACCATGTTCGAGTACAAGGGTCAACGGAAGACGAGTTCCACCCTTTGCGGCAGTCCGCCATACATCGCGCCTGAGATTCTCGCGTGCGGCAAGGCAGAGAAGAAGGCAAACCCGGACGCGATCAAGTACTCGCCAGATCTCGTTGACATCTGGTCATGCGGTGTCATCCTCTTCGTACTGTTGGTTGGCAACACACCCTGGGATGAGCCGTCGAAGGGTAGCTGGGAGTACCAGGAGTACGTACGAACGAACGGCCGCAGCACAGATGCGCTGTGGGGGAGGATACCGTCAGATGCCTTGTCACTGCTTCGAGGCATGATGAATATTGACCCGAGTAAACGCTTCTCTTTTCGACAGATCCGACAACACCCTTGGTATACTAGGCAAAACCCGCACTTGACATCGGACGGCACGATTTCCGACCCCATCAACCTGGCCACGCAGATGCTAGAAAGTCTCAAGATCGATTTCAACCAGCATCCCACAGCCTCCCAGGGCAACCCATCCAGCAGTGATCCCATGGATATCGATAGCGCCGGCAAGGTCTCTTTCACTCAGCCTGAGACACCCATCAACGATGTTGCGTGGGATTGGGAGCGCCCTGCCCTCAAAGTCATGAACCCCATTGCGGTTTCCTCCACACAACCTCTGACCCGAAGCGTGAGCGGCGTCGCCAACCGACGCTTGTTCATGGAGTCTCTCGCGGAAGAGCCTTCCATCAGCCAGTTCTCGCAGACCCCTGGTGTCCCTCTGACCCTTACACAAGCGGCCCGCCGCTTCCGCGATATCGTGCCGTTCGAGTCCCTCACACGCTTCTTCTCTCACGTGCCGCCCCAGCTCATCGTGCAGATGCTCAGCGACGCCCTGCACCAGCTCAACGTCCCGCTGCCGCCCGTTACGCCGAATCTGTACTCGGACCACATTGTCATCATCAAGATCAAGACGCTCGACGCGCGTCGACAGTCGCTGCACGGCGAGATTCACGTCGACAAGCACAAGCTGCCTGAGGAGCAGGAGCTGCTGGATATTCGGTTCGTGAAGATCAAGGGAGACCCGCTGGAATGGCGTCGGTTCTTCAAGAAGATTGTCGTTCTCTGCAAGGATGGCGTGTACGTGCCGGATGTATAGGAAGGATGCCGGCTTGGATAGAGTGATGGATTGAAATGATGTTTACGCTGTATAGATGTATAGATAAGACCTGTTACGAATGAAGAAAGGAAAATAATACCCCGGTAATGGTACTCTGAGCCAACATGATAATACCCGCCAAGAGAGGTTGAACGATGACATCAAACGAGGAGAAGAAGACCCCATCGAACTCCAAAGGTCTGTGGTCCAAAGAGCAACTTATACGGTGACAGAATAAAGGAACAATGCGACCATGATCTTGAATCACCCCGAAACCTACCGGAAGAAAACAACGTACTTCATCTATCTGAAGTCAAAAGAATCAAAGCAAACCAAAGAACCAGAAACATCCATTTCCCTCCCAATGCCAAGTTCGCACCTACCAACCCCGTTTACAAACGCACTAATACTGACGGAGCCAGACTGAGCCCTACCCATCTGTGACCTACAAATCGCTCATATCATCATCCCCATCGTTCTCATATTCCTCATCGTCGTCATAATCGCCATCGTCCTCATCGTCCACAAATTCTGCGTCTGGATCGATTTGCTGTTGAGGGTTAGAATATACCACGTGGAAGAAGCAACCTCCATTGGGGAGGCCTTCTTTGACGATCCGGATGAGCGTGTGGGGGCTGTCCGATCTCAGAGGAAGATATTCTTCACGTTTCTCTGTCTTCCTATAGGCTTTAATAGCGTTTTTCTCAACAGAATGACTGATCATGTCAAAACAAGTGCCCGGATGGCACCTTTCACGTTCCACGTACTCCAGGGAAGGATGCCAGGTCCGAACGATCTCCACAATTAGACCATGCAATTTCATGAATGTTCGACCATGGCCACTCAGGCCTTTCGTGTTCAGTAGATTCCTTTCACAATGAGGACGTCGACAAACAAACATTTGTAGGTAGGCATGTACCATCTCATGAATCAGAGACGCGACGATTTCTTCAAACGAAATGCGCTCGACCTTGCTGATCAGATTCTTGTTCACAGTTGTTTTGGGAAAGAGTCGAATCTTCGCAAACCACCTGCCGACCTCGAAAACAGGCGTTGAATCTGCGAGACTGTTGCCCTCGCCCTTGCCTTTCAAATCACCAAAGCCTGTTAGCAGCTCTACGTGCGAGTACCTGGGAACGTTAGTGTCAGTTGGGTTATGGGGGTATCTTGTCAAAGCCCCAAAGAAGAAGAAATCGTCGAGGCGAACCATCATTTCGTGCAACGAGCCTTCGAGTTGAAGCGCCAAGGACTCGACTTCCGTCCGCGAGTATCGACTTTTCTCGAATGCTTCGAGCTCCTCGGGGTCCAGATCATACCAGGCTTTAGATACGGCCAGCGCGTTCAGGACAAGCTGGACAAATTCCCGTTGAGCCACCTCTTGCTGCGGTCGAAGCTTGCACCGGTAAAAGTTTCTGCAGGTGAGGTTCAACAGAGGTGTCGCGGCATACATCCCGACGAACAGAGGGAGGTAAGGCGGTAAATCCCGAGACGTCGTAAGCAAGAGAATCTGAGGAGAAGGCTTCGGGAAGGGAGGGTGATGACATTTTTCCACCTCCTGACACTGGTGAGATGTGTTCTGGGTCTCTTCGCTGACAAGGTTTCGGGTTCCCTGATCCACCGGCATCGAATGCTCCATGGTGCTGAGTTGCGAGTTGCTGTTGTCTAGTTATGTGTTGACGGTACACGAATCACAAAGCTGACGAGTTGTCGATGAGTTGTTGATGAGTTGTCGATGAGTTGTCGATGAGTTGTCGATGAGTTGCTGGTGAAGGAATGGCTTCAAGCTGTGATTGTGCTTCTCTTTTGTATGACATCGTAGCAACTATCGGATTCTCGAATAGATACTACTCGACTTCTTCAGCATTCTATTTAATCAAGAAGAGAAAGAAAAATGTTGGGAAGAGTTTCATGGCCTTGAACTCGGGACCTCGAAGGACACCAGGTCAAGCTAAAACTTGATTGTGACTTCAAACGATAGGCTAGACCACGCTCAACTCGGCTTTCATGTTTTGGTTTTGAGAAGAAATTCGAAAGTGTTATAAGTGATATCGTGGTCTATCTTGGTTCTCAAACTCGTTCTCTTGGGCCTCGCTCCCACTCGAAGCGCCGCTTCTCAGTGCATTCACATTCTCATCTGATTTGAAGACATCTGTTCAGATCCTTTTGTAACTTGGTTTTCTTCGTGAATCATTATTTCCTTATGACGAGCAAGCTGAAGCGCGTAGTTTAGAGAAGGTCGGGAATAATAGGACGACTAGGAAACAGACAAGAGTCGACATAAGCGACACCTTGGTCTTTCTTTAATAAACTGCTGTTTGATACGGAGTACCGTTTCTCTATGCCTTGACATTTACGCAAAGTTTGTTGGCCTCGAAATTTGTCAGCAGATCAAAACTCTTAGAAGAGAAAGGAGTTAGTTGATTTCAGAGCAAAGCAAGCCACATCAAGGATAATGCTCCGTGCCTAGGAAAAGCTTTGCCAATGGCCTCTGATGTAATCGACTTTCGAGACTAATTAAGATCCTCGGAAGCCCCCCTTGTCGGCTACACAACTCAACAAACAAACTGGGGTTTAAATATCGGGGACCCGGCAACTCAACGTTTTGCAAGGTTGCAAGCACACACACCTGATTCAAGTATCGGTGTGCCTTGAATTCGCCAAATTTGAAGTTTGCTCCATGAATGATTGGGACTGCTGATCTAGAATTGTTCCAGAACATGGCCAAGTCCGAAAAAGAGCATCCGTTCGGAGTACTCGTATCGAAAATACATAATAAGCTTGGGGGGGGGGGGTTATCATGTTGTGCCGTCGTTTCCAGAAGGTTACAACTAGTACGTGGTTTGCGTGTGTGGTCCCCCTTTCCCAAATGATCATACTTAATTACCCTGCACAATAAGTTTGCTGGGTCCAAAGGGGGAAGGGAGGTAGAGCTCCGCAACCCCCGGGTCCCGTGGCGAGGGAGCGGCTCTTCCCGCAAACTCTGTCGGTCCATCGGACAAAAACCTGGGACGAAAAAAAGGGAGGCCTTTCCTCTTTTTGATTTTCTTGGATGATGTGCATAATGTTACAGGTAGCATCGCCAGAAAATCTCTGGAGAAGGGAGACAACAAAAAGGGCGCTTCAAGCCTCCAGTGTGGTGACGTTTGATGAGTGATATATTATGGCGCGCGTATCGAACGAAGCCTTGCAAGGAAAATGACAAGTCACATGAGTCAAATACCAATTGCCGGAAAATCCTCTTTCTTTTTGATCTGGTGATGCCTAACACTAACCCAATTTTTCTCCTTTTTTGATAATACAAAAAGGGTAAAAAACCTTGTCGACTTGGCGAAAGCCACGTTCTTTTAGTCCGGTATCCGAGTCGTGAATTTTCTGGGATGATTGGCCAGGACCCTTGCAAATGCGCATAACTAAACCGAACCAGAGCTGGCTGACAAGTGGTTCGGAGGGGGGGGGGAGGGGGTTCGCTTGGACAACCGCAAAAGGGGGGTGTGGTCGATCACCAAAGCTGGAAGTTTGCGTGGTTTTGTTCAGGGAACCGAATCCTTCTTACGACAGTACATTGATCCTCGTATAAGAGGCGCACTAACGAAATTATGTACAGAGCAAGAAAGCAAACACACAATGGACAAAAGCTTCCTGAGCAAGATGGAGGAGGTGTAGTGTTCATTAATTGAGTTTGTGAATTTGTACGGATACATTTGTTGAAAATCATAAACATCGACAAGCTCTTTTTTCGCGCTCTCTCGCAAATAGTACAAAACTTTCTCGCTCGGCACTACAGATATCCGATAACCTAAGATTGCAAATGCTACGTTCAGTCGCTCAGCGTGCTCATCCATGCAGTCGATAAAAACAAAACAGCCACACCAACGACAAGGCAGATCGATAGTCGAACCTTCGTACCAAAGAAAAAAAAACAAAACCGAACAATAAATAATCAGAATGCCTCCCAGTAGGTATCTCAAGCTGCTTCCAAATCGCAATAACATCAAATCGTAAACAGTGCGTGGGTGTATAAGTCATGTAAGGGAAACAAGGGCAAAGCTTGCGAAGCTTTACGCCTTCACCTTTGCATGGCCAAAAATCTCCGCCATGAGATGTTCGTACGGAGCCAGAGGATGCTCCTCGGCCAGGTCCATATCAGCCATCTTGTACCGTGGGTTCGATGTGTGCATGGCGTGGAAGCCCCGGGCGCACTCCTGCATAGACTGCTCGTACGTGCCCCTCCCCTTGAGGATGGCGGAGGCTCTGTTGGCGGCATCTACCGTGTCGGTGGCGACGTCTTCCAGGACTGCGAAGACATCCTTGCCCGTTGCCATACGGCGGTTGTGAATATAGTTCCTGGTCTCGCCGCCAAGTTCCTCCTTGTAGAAGCTGATAAAAGGCACGCGGTCAGACATACGTCGATGGATGGGAAAAAAGCAATTATACACTAAAAAGTGTCCGTGTGTTATAGAAACTGGCGGGGGGTGAATGACTTACGAAAAAACGTCGTTCGAAATGTCGATCACCCTGGCCATGTCAGGGATGGCCTCCAGGTATTGACTCACGTCCGGGTATTGGGCCTTGGGGAAGCAGAAGACGGCGTACGCCACGTTTATGCCAGCCAAGTCGCGCAGGAAGTCGGGGAACTTGATCCCGGCGCCCCGCGTGGTCTTCATGTTCTGGAAGCCATCGTGACGCTCGAGCAGGTTGCAAGTCATGAACTTGAGAGCCGAGATTTGCAGCAGGCTGGCCATGACGGGGTCAAAGATGTCGGGAGCTTGCCGCAGCAGGCCCGCCAACCCTTCGAGCATGGCGTTGGGCTGGGTCTCGCCGTTGAGGAAGCGCCGCTGGAAGTGCTGGGCCTCGTCCATGCCGCCTTCATTTTGGCCTACGATGTCGTCGTACTGAACGACGAGCCAGGTAAAGAGCCCAACATAACCCTGCACCTCTATCGGGTGACGGGGATGGCACATCTGTCGAGGGTGTTCCGTCAGCACGCTACTTATCACAATCACATTTTAATCCATGGGAAATTCCAAAATAAAAACGAGGTATTATTCCAACGTCAAAACGTGGCTTTAGGGTAGCATGAATGGTAAGGAGGTGGGATACATACCGCAGCTAGTGAGAAGCCCAAGCGGAACCCCTTCTGGGACAGAGGGGTATCGAGTGGCCATCCGATCTCGACGGCTCTCTTGTGCATATATTTCAGCAGCGCTTCGACGGATTCGCGCTTGAGTTGCGGGACGCCGGGGTACTTGAGGTCCTCGAGCATCTGTTTGCAAATGGGCTTGCAGAGGGCGGCCAGCCGCTGGGGCTCCTTTGCCAGGTCATCTTCGAGGCGGATTCGCTTCGGGGCACACATTCCCCACACGGAGCTGAGCATCCGGAGCCACGGCTGAGCAACCGAAACAGCGGCGCCGTTGATTCCTCCAGGGCTGAGACCGGGAGGGCTGACCATGATCTTGGGCGAGGTGGACATTAAGGGCAACAAGTAAGAGCTCGAGAGGAGCGAGCTCTAGAGGAAGGGCGGTGGGTTAGTAAGGGCGGTTAATACTGGATATGAATTGTCGGTGTAGGTAGAGTTTAGTCTAGAAGAAGCACAGACAAGAAGCTAATGACCATATCCATGAAACCTCTTGACGGGGGAGACCTGGGCTTTTTATTCCTAACATGGGCTCGCGATGCTCCCATGGACAGGGAAGTCGATATGAAAGGCATGTGGGTGGCAGGGCATCGAGAGGTTTCCATTTCGAGCGAGGTGCCGGGGCGAAGGAGGAGGAGGAGGCATTCGGCGGTCCAGGTTTGGCTACGGCGGCAATGGTGAGGTGGTGAGCGAGGCAACGATCAGGAAGTGGTAAGGAATAGTGGCATCAGTGCAAAGTGTGAGAAAGGTGCGTGCGATTTGATACCTCGATCGCCAGCCATCGCTCCCCTATCCCTAGGTTAAACCAAACCGTTTGACGGTTCGCCGTTGGCTCGTGTGGCATGTGGACAGGGTTAAGAGCAGAGTGGGCTTAGTCCCAGCTGCTAGTTCAACAACGCTGCAGGTTTGTCCCCTCGTTGTTGAAGGTACACTACTTTTGTGTACACACGCTACAATGTGCATTGGTACCGCGGTCTAGCCAGGGCCCCTAGGGAGGACATTATCCAGGCTGGACCGGGTTGACAAGTTGTTGGTGGAGAATGGGCAAGCATTTCCAAGGGTCGTGGCCATGCAATGCAGCAAGAAAAAGGTGGTGGTGGTGTACGAAGTTTGTGCGAGAGTGGACGGAGGAAGTTCCGAGACGGAGACCTACGACGCAGTACCCCGTAGTGAAGGATGGATCATGGTGCCAGGAGATATCAATTGAGCTAATAAGGTCGAGTGCCGATGCGCAGTCTCGGGTACAGGCTACAGAGTCCAGACTTGAGGTCACAAGAGTGGTGTGCTGTCATGGTGCTGGATGTCAGGGTGTGAGTGTGAGTGTGAGTGTGAGTGTGAGGTGGTGTACTTCGTAGGCGACTCCGTGAAGGGGGTTAGATTGTGAGATCATCCCGAAACCGCATCAACTCCCGGATCGCATCATGGTCCATGGATGTGTAGCTGTTGAGGGCCAGGTTTCCCCAAGTGTGCCTAAAATGGGTGTATTCCCGGGTTGACGATATATGTGCAGCGTAGTAAGACCATAGACGGCAAGAAAGGTGACTTAGGGCAGTGTCAAAGACGGGAAGCAAGGCATATTTTCGGAGGGGGAGTTGCGAAGTTGCGGCGTGCGGTGCGGCGATGACGACGCACGTGAGTTTGTACTTTGTAGTCAGCAAGGACCATGAACATGGTAGCCCCGAGTCAGGAGACGGTGGGACGGCAGGAACGGGTCCCAGAAAAAGAGAAGATAAAAGAGGAGACCACCCAAGAGCGCAGGAGCCGTCAGCGTCTGTCAGGGCCTGTGTTACTCCGTACCTGCCATCCCATGCTCACCTCCCAGGTCGCAGGAAGGAAGTGGGGGTCATCTGGGGTCGTGCGAACATTGGCTTCCCAAACATGACATGATCATCTGCAAATTGCTCCTCCATACACTCCGTACCCAGCACACAAACCCAGCATTCAACCCAGTACGGAGGACCTACCTTACTCATACTGTCAGGACGGGTCCACTTGTGCCCGCCAACGGTTGCCAAGTGAAAAAGGGGGGCCCTCCCTAAGGTAAGGTGTATCCGTACGAACAACTTGCCTATCCTTACAAGTTACACAGTATCCGTACAGGCTACCCATAGGCAATCCATCCATGAAATCCATCCCATCAGAGCCGTAATGCGGTACCCGTAGGTGGCTGCGGGCCATGCCTTGGAGGCTTGGAGCCATGCCGTGTCTTCGTGCCTTGGTGCCTTGGTGGGCGGGGTGGCACGCTGCACTCACAGACTTTCCCAGGCCCAGAGCAGTAAAGCTCTAGTACGGAGTACACACACACAAAGATGGCTGCCGCTTTCGCTAGGTGTTCTACACTATTCCCTCTGGTCCCGTCTCAGCTTCGGCGTTCCGTGAGCCGTACGGGTGTGGAACTGTCGACAGTTACGGAGTAGTTTGCTTGTTCACTTGGTGACTATGTGGCTGTTGCGGCCGTTGTATGGAATCATTCGAATCAGACGAACACGCGCACGAACACGCGAACTGCCGGATGGCGGATGGGGCGCAGAAGTCATCATTCGGAGGGGGTCTCAGTCGGAGGAGGGGGATTGCGTTTGCAGAATGGTCGAGGCATCGGAGCGAGAAACCTGGAAAAACCTTGCTTTCGCTTTTAGATCGCCGAACATTTGAATTAATATGGATGGTCCATGGCCTACTTTTCTGCCCACTCGATGTTTTGGGTCTGGTTGTCCTACCTTACCAAGCGTGCAAGCCGACCACCTTAGGTTGCCTTACTCCGTACGTTACGCGAACTTGCGGCTTTGCCTGCGTGTCGTGTCTTGTCTTGACCAAGGTCTTCCAGTGCCCTCCACAAGTAAAAGGGAAAATCCACAAGGTCTTTCTTGGTAAGTTGGGTCTCTGCACAAATGCAGCAGAGAAGTGGCCGTTTTCAGCCGTCGTCATCTCCACCGGGTCCATGCCGGGTCATAAGGTACGTAGTAGGCAGCCAGAACCAGGCAAGCAACGCCAAGCAAGGGTTCTTCTTTCCCTTTCGCTATCGTCTAAGGTAAGGTAGGTACTGCACACTGCACAGTACGTACTCAATTCAACTCGGGCACCACACTGGAAGTTTAACTTCGCGTGCTGGTTGCGTGGTGCATCTGTCACCTAGCTTCATTGTTCCCAGTCCACCATCTCGTCAAATTGTGTCACTATTCCAGGCAATGACCGATAGACCAGCCGCTCGCCACGCTGCTACCAGTACGAGTGCCGTGCCGCTCTCCCTGGAAATGTTCCCGAATGTCTCTGATGGCGACCACCACACGAATCCACGGTCCACCACCACCACCACCGCCAGTCCACAACCACACAACCACGCATCAAGACTTAGTTACGACACACACACACCCCCTCCCTCCTCCCCTTGAACCTTGAACCTTCCCACCTGCGACCCCTGGATAGCGTGAGCCCGTCTCCTTCTGAAGGAGGGGGAAGCTAGCCGTATCCTGTCGAACTTCGTCGACCTTTACGCCCCATTGGCACGCTGTGCCCGTCTTTTTCGGCTTCTCTCTGTCTCGCTGGAATGTCTGGCTGGAGTCTGGACCCCTGTGCTATGAAAATCTCAACCCGAGCATGGCATTGGGAACAGCCGACAGCATCGATGCCCCCAGAGATCCCCTGCCCGAGCCGCTGGGCCCGCATCTGCGCCTTCTTGGTATAAACGCCGGCGTCCCGTTCGGAGTCCTCACTTCTGCGCTGGACGCGCTTCAGATTCGCACTGCCGTTGCATTGTTGGTGTGCGACCCAGACACTCACACGCCGCAAGTCAAGTCAAATCCTGTCAGCAGCAGCAGCAGACCCGTACGGATACTTCGTAATACCTACCTTACTCTCGGAAACTGAGTGTGAGACTGAGTGTTGGAAACCTACCCCTGCCCTGGCACCCTTTCCACTCTCCCACAGCTCGACCTGCAGAAACTGGAGAAGAGAGAGAGAGATAGCAGCAGGCCCTCACCTGAGACCTGATCTGGAGCACAGGAATCGGCACATCAGAGACGGGAGGAAAGCACGTACGGATACCGGTACCTTACACAGAATCTGCGAGGGGTGAACAATCGAGACAACTGTTTGTTGCTGTCTGCTGTTTGGCCAAGTCCTCGCCCGATCCCGCTCACTCGCTCGCTCGCTCGCTCCGCCGAACCGAACCAGAGCATTGCTGCCGTTAAGATGAGCATTCAATACCGGCGTCTGGACCCTTCGAGGCGTGAGATCCGCCTGCTTGAGATTCAGTCCGCGCGCAGTCTCAGCGATCCAGTCGAGTGTCGCCTTGTCACAGTTCGCCTGACTGATGAGCTGTCCCGCGAGTACATCGCTCTCTCATCACTCTATGGCGATGCGGCCGAGACCGAAAAGATCTTCGTGGGTGGCCAGACCGTTACCATCACCGCTCATCTGGCCCAGGCACTGAAGCAGGTCCGCGCCGTCTTCTACCCGACCATCTCGCAGCGCTTCCAACGGACGCCGGCCAGGCGGCCTCACGGCGCCCCGCGATGGCTTAGGCAGCTCTTCGGTCTCAGTAGCTCACGTCAGAGTGACTTGGAGTCGAGGTGTTTGAGAGTGTGGTGCGACTTCCTCTGCGTCAACCAGCGTGACGACGTCGAAAAGTCCAAGCAGCACACGGACATGCGTAACATCTACCGCAACGCGGAGCTTGTCGTCGGGTGGCTGGGCGACAAGATGGACTACACCGATGAGGCCATGGCCGCTCTCGCGCGGATCGAGGACGCCATGCCGCCCCACTGGGGCGACCCCGGCGACCGCGAAAAGCACCCCGAAGACTACGCGCCAACTCACAAGTGGGCGGTCCCCATTGCGCCTCTATGGGCTCCTGGTCCCAACGGCGAGATTCCGTTCATGATGCCGCACTGGGCCGGTGCCAACGACTTCATGGGTCGTTCCTACTTTCAACGTCGCTGGATTCTTGAAGAGCTCGCCATGGCAAGGTTCCCTACCTTTTTGATTGGAGATACCATTGTTCCGTGGAAGCAGGTACTCCGCTTGAACCGCATGATGGAGGAGTTCAAGTATCATCCATCCGAGATCTTCCCCGCGGTAAGTAACTCACTGTACCAGTCTTTTGGAATTTTGGCCTTCGGGCTAAGTTTCCGGCCGGCGCTGTAACGCTCGCCTCACCTTCTTTGCCCCCTTACGGCCGTAAGCCTTTGCATGAAGAGATCTCGATCGACTGACCCGGTTTCTGTAGAACCTATCGGCCATGATAGCCGAGTTGCCTCTTGAGACAGCGCACAAGCTTCTCGATGAGTTTGCAAAGCGGGAGGCGCTAGAGGAGGCCCAGATCCTCAAGGAGACGGGAAGCAGCAGGGCGACCTCGTCCACGCGATCCACCGACACCAAGTAATTGGCGCGGCGTGCGTGCCATGCGTTTTGGCGATGTTCGGGGTTCCGATCCAGATTTGAGTAGGATCCCGGCGAGAGAGGCAAGGTAGCAGGCGGGTATGGGATGGTCAAGTGCTTATCACTCACCTCAGTGACCTCACTTGTAGCAGGCAGGAGTTGTAGATTAGCCTGGAATGCTGCCAAGCCATGTCCGAAGGGAGGCTTATGGTTTGAGGGGTAATGGGAGGGGAATTCCACGGAAAGGAGGGCTTAGCGTTGTAACGAGGATACCCAAAAGTTCCTTCTAGCTTCATTTAGCAGGATCTTTGAACTTGTTTCTTTTCTTTCTTCTGTTTTGCTTGTGGCCGTTTGTCCCCTTCCTTCCAGCAAACACATGCGCGCGCACGAGACGAGGAAAATGTAAGGTTCCGTCGTGATATAAATACCAAGAGCCGCTTTCCCCCCAAACACTGTCCGGAATGCGCGGGTACGCTTGCCATGTGGTATTGAAGAATTTCGGACGAAACGGGACGAAACGGGGTCAAACTGGAGCGTATTCCGAAGCTCTAGCATAACGCACACCCATCGCATCACTTCACATCAAATCAACCCCTCCCCCCGCCCACTTCACGCCCAGGCTCCATGTCGTGCGACCCCAATGATTCGACTTTTTTTTATCTTTTTTTTTTATCTTGCCAAAGTATGAACATTAGAGAGCGGGCCTGCTGAAATGCGAGGAATGATTTGCGAACTTGTGAAGGTTTCCTGCTGGGTCTCCAATAGTGTGATGCAGGATCCTGTGCGATGATAAGTGATCCTCTGGGGGGGCCTGAGGAGGGGGGGGGGCGTTTCCTCTCTCTCTTCTTTGTTGGAGAATGAGAGAGGGGCCATTGTGCAGGTATCGCAGGCATCGCTAACCAAAGAGAATGGTCCCTTTGGACAAGTATCTGTATGGAATCGATGGGATCGTCAGAGTTCAAGGACTCGAAGATGCAAGGGTTACCGGAAGAACTGGCCCTGCATGATTCGCGACCTGCTGACCGGCGGATTACGTACTGAGGCAATTTTGTTCGTTGCAGAAACGCAAAAAGACAGCAGCTCGTCTAGGTACTGCATCGCTGCAGCGCGCATCATGCAGCTTTCCTGCGGCAATTCCGCTTAAGAAGCAAAGTGCAGCCGGGCAGGGTACGGTACACAGGACAGGGGGTCCGGGGTTTTATATGCAGGTTTTCTCACTCCAACATTTACGGAGTAATGTCCGTACTACATGAACTTTCCCAAGTAGTCAGCCAAGCGGGCGAAACTAACAAAGAAAGACAACCAACCTCTCCTTCTCCTTGCGGTGTTGCGAAATAACTAACGTACCGCTTAACCGAGGGAACCGACAGTTTGGCACGCGCCACCACCTTTCTATTCCGTCCAAGTATTCCCGTGTCCAACCTGAAACTATATTTGCTTGCCATCCAACCTTGCACCAACGCACACACAAACGAAAACCAACAGCATGAACCCATTCCATGGCCTGGACATGCGTGCTGTTGGCCATGTTGGATTTTTCCTCCTTTGTCGGGGCCCATGTTGGCGTGGTAATCACATACGATAATTCTTCACCGCTACTACTTGGCCCTGTCTCGTTGGACGGTTGGAGATGGTTTCTTTGGCGACGATCATGTACTTGTCTTCAAAGTCACCTTTTGTCTACAAAGTCACTTTCGATTGATATTCCGGAAGGTGCGGAATTATTCACGTGAATGGTTCGAAAGTATTGTTGTCAACTGATAACGATTGGTTACCTCTTGGAGCAGAATTCTCCGGAGAGTCTATTGTCCCCAAGAATTTTCGCAATTGTCATCTCCCGTCTGTTCTCTCCGAGTCGCACTTTGATATGGTCACAGGAAAGATGGGCTCAACATGATGAATGTCAACACTTAGACGCCAATTGGCTTGGCGACTCGTCAAAGGTACAGATTAATTTGCTCGTGTATCGGATGGCGACCGAACCGCGAGCGAGTTGGCAGAGTGAGTATCTTGAGTGTTTACTCATCAGATCATGCGAGATTTCTCGCGCCCGCAAAGAACTCACAAACAACACTTGAGTTGTGATGGTCTTGCTCAACTACGGGATAGGTTCTTCGTTCACACAGAATTCTACTCTACCTAGCCAGCCACACAAAAGCTCAAGCTAGTTATTATTAGCGATTGGCAGCGAGACACGACTCGAGTATGCATGCAAGTTCTGACGAGTCGCAATTGCTTCCAAAAAAGACGCAAAGAATAAGTTGACTAGTTACAAAATTGTGTCGCATCGTGTCAAGAAGTGCGACAATTGAATTTCGAGAGGAAGGTGTGTTAATGCAATCGAAATGAGTTTTACCAAGTGTTGAGGCTCTACGGATACGAACTGCAAATGCAACTGTAGCGTCAAAACTCGAGCCGCGCCAAACATCTGACCACCCAACTATAACCCCACAATTTCACGTTCCCCTCCCCTCCCGCAAAAGTGCGTGTGAGGTTGGATTTGGCACCTCTTGTTCGCTCGGAACATGACAAAGAGTAATTGGTGGCCGATCAACCAAAGTGGCAGAAGAAGTGAAACAGCGAAAGGGTTGCGACTTGCGAAGCGAGCCGGTCAGATCACTGTTTAGTGGAGATCTTTCCCCGGTTTGAGGGCTTTCGTGCAGCTCTTGGCCGGCCGAGGGCACGAAAGAAGAAGAAGGAAACATCCCATTAATCCAATCCCATCCAATGCAAACCGTCCCAAACCAATCGAAGCGAACCCCACGCACGCACGTACTGTCACGCACGTACGTCCGTACGGTACGGCCTCGGCCGTGCCGCAACCCTGCATAGGAGTGTGGTTGTACAAAGTCTTATTTTTTTTTGCCTTGAGCCTCCAACCTGCCTTTTCCTGCATCTCTCCGAAAAAATGTCTCGTTTGTTGAACGACATGCAGGCGAGGATATGCAAACCTGACTCACGGCCCGAGGTAGCATCAGAGATCCTGTCACGAGTTATGGCACACAGCAATGGGCATACGGAGTATAGTAAAGTAGCCTAACTTATTAAAATAAAAATAAATAAAAGAGAAAGGTCTATATATAAGATATAAATAAGATATACGTAATATAATACGTAACAAGTACTTTATAAATTACGGTCCCTATCTTTATTACGTAATATACCCCCTAATTACTATTATAAAGGAGCTATTATATTTAAAATAGGACCTCCGAATAGCCTTATAAAGGCCCGATTTAGTTAAATATAAATAAAAGAAAAATAAGCGCAAGGGATATACGTTTTTTAGAGCGCGTTTATTATTAATATCCCCTTTATTTAAAATAAATAGAATTTTAACTAAAAATAGTACATAATCTATTATTTTTAGTATATAAATTAATAAAGGCGAGGCTATTTATTTACTTTGCGTATATTTAAAATCTCGTAGCCTCGCCTCGCTATTATTTTTCTTTTTTTTTTTAACTTTTTATAGTTATTATATATACCTTTATTTATTATATATATAGCACCGTCGAATCCTTTATTAATTTTATTTTAAATATAAATATTTAATATATCCGTATTATTAATAAGTTTTATATAATTTTTATAATATATCCTATATATATATTATATAGTTTATTAAAAGTTTAATTAAATAATAATAACGAGGCCCTCGTAATTAAATCCCTTTCCCGCCCCGCTAACCTATCCTTTTTATATATTAAGGCCCTATTACTAAGCTCTCCTCTTTATTAAAAAAATTAAAACTATTATTAAAAATATTAAAACTTTAAAAAGTTCGAGGCTTTCTTAGTAATAAAGACGTAACTATAATAAAAATATAATAGTTATAAAAGCTTTAATAATAAGTTTTATTCCCCTATTTCGGAATCGAGAGCAAAGAGGAGTTTAAAAAAGAAAAGACGATAATAAAAATAAAAATATAAATAACCTACTTTTAAAAAGGGTATATGTATATTATTTTTTTAAATATTGTATTTAATATTATTTAGATTTTAAAAAGTATAAGCTCGTAGCCGCCTCGTTAATAAAAAGGGCGTTAAAAAATAAAAAAAAATAAAAAAAAAAGAACGCCGAAAAGTAAAAGTACCCCCGTAATAAATATAGTTCTCTTTATTTATAAAGACCTATTTAACGTATATTTAGTCTTTAAAAAGCTTAAAAGCGAGGCTCTTAAAGAGCGGGATATTTAGTATATACCTACTTTTAATAGCCCTTTAATATACTAACTATAAAAATAGTAGTCGTTATTTTATAAAAAATAGTAGCCGTATATATACTATTTTAACGGCCGTTTAGTTAAAGCTTATATTAATATACTAATTATCCTATAGCTAATAGCCTAGGCTTTTACTAAAGCGATTATAAATAGCGCTCCCCCCTTTATAAATATATTATCGTTTTTTATTATTAAAAAACGCACTCTTAACTATAATTTTATAAAAAATCGCTAAGCTTTATAATATCGTTTATTAAATAGATAATAATATTAAAAAATACGAGGACTATATCCGCTTTTAAATAAAACTTCCTCCCCTCGCCCCCCGACCCCTCCCTAATACTTAATATTATTTATTACGTTTATTATAGTTATTTATAATTAACTTCTTATTACCCCCCCCGCTCTTATACTTAAGTCGTTAATTTAACGGTCGTTCTATTCCCTAGCTCCCCTACTACCCCGCTATTATTAACTTTATAAATTTAAAGTATATAAAGCGTAGTTTTTAATATATATAACTCTCTTCGTTATTAATACTATAATTCTAATAGTTTCGTTCTTTTTAAACTAAGAGTTTAATTAATAAATATAAGCCTAAGTCTATTTTTATATATATATACTTATAAATAAAGTTATTTTAAAAGTTTAGGCCTTCGGGCTAAAAAAGTTTTATTTATTTTATTTTAAGCCTCCGGGCCGTACTCTAAGTTCTATTTATAATTTACCTTCGGGTACTAAGTTTTTCTAAGTATAGCCTAAATTAATTATTTTTAACT